TTGCAACTTGGAAAGGAAATTTTCAGCAATTAGGCCACACTTCACGACTTTCTTTTCACAGCATCAAGGGCACGACTCAGTTCTAAAAATCCGGAGAATGTGAATTGTGAAGCTCTTGTAAAATTCCAGGACTTTTTTGACTGCGTATTAGATTTCAGGCAGCAGGGGCTTATATTTCACTTTCTCTGAAAACAATTTTACTTTTCTTTCTTTTACTTTTATTTCTGGAAACTTCTCTCACAAGATCACCATGATTATATCTGTTTACACTTTACAGCAACAGTTCATGTTAAACTACTCAATGTAAAGTTCCAGCTGTATCTTGACATAGAAAAGTGTGTATGACACAACATTGAAGCTTGTGGACATAAACACAGAAACAGTAGAAAAGTGAAGTTCAGTATTGGCGAACTGGGCGTGAAATAAGTACACTTACAGTATGAAGATTGAAGAATTGTACCTTTACAAAAGGGAAGCTCTGACATTAGATTGGTCCTCTACCTCAATAATAGAGGACCAATGTCTGGTTTACGTTAAACACAATTCTACACTCCTGTTACACGTTACACACAAGTCTGTACACTCCTGTGTAACATGTCAAGTCAGCAACACTATAATGAGGATTTAATAGTTCAGTGTAGGTTTCTAATGGTCTGATATGTTCAGCTATTAGACGAGCACACACAATGTATTATATTATAAAGGAGCAGTGTCTACAAGGGGACTATTATTGGAATGTTTGAGTGTAGGACCAATGTCTAGCTCCTTGTTTAAACGTGTGTAACAGTAACACAACATGTCAACTGTCAAGCTAGCACCGTGCTGTAGCACTACTACAGTTGGACACACTGCTGCTACCTTTGTAGTGTCTGTCTGACCTCAAGTTAGGTAGTTAAGTGTCTAACTTGAGCTACACATCTCTCATCACTGTCTTCAGAACTCAATTATTATCCGAGAATTGGAGTGTTATAGCTGATTAAACATGTATTAGGGATCAGATACATTGCAGACAGTTTAACTGGTAGAAGTTAAACTGTTGACTTCTTTAATTCGGTAAATCCCGTGATTTGTAAAGATATTATTAACTTAAAACAAGTACAGTTCCAGCTTCCACTGTCATTACCAGGACGTGCTGTTTATCACGTGCTGTCCACGTGTTGTCTTATCACCACATCACGTGATATACGAGGTTGTATCACGTGCTGTTTAGTCGTCTGGTTCTCAATCCTTTTCAACGCTGCACCTGTCCTCCAACAATGGGAATTTAAACGTTTTGACCAGCGAGCTGGATAGTTAAAATTAGGATATCAGGATTCACAGTCTCGATTAATATTTGGATTGGTATTGCAGTTAAGTTGGTGGCAATGACCGAACATAAGGATTAATGTTGTCATGAAATAAAGGCCGTTACATTAGTAGTTCTTCTTTAACTTTCCGGGTTATGAGGGTCCGGGGGAGGTAAGGGTCGTGTCACGTGTAACTCTGTAAACAGAGGGTCCTCACGTGACACACAACACGAATAACGTCTGGTTATTGTAGGTTCCCTTTGATACATACTGTCGACACCGACAGCTATATCAAATTATTTGGGCTCTCTTCTCATTTGGGTTCTTTCATCTAAAAGAGCCGACATGTTCCAAATTTCAAACTTTGATAGGTTGACAGTTCATCTTGACACATTGTTCTGATTGAATGTGAGAATAGGAAATGAAATAGAGCCAGAGAGGGAGGGGGAGAGGAAGAACTAGAGAGAGGGAGAGAGAGACAATAGTGCATTGTAATGTGACGATAGTAAATTGTACCGGAATATAGTTAAATCTTTACTTCGTTTAGCGTATGACGTGGGGTTTACCTCCCATAAAGCTTGTGTTGTACTGGCAAACCTACCCACCAACCAAGGTCAAGCGAGTTGGCGGCTGTCCAGAACATTACAGGTTGTATACAGAGTTCTGAGTTATTCTCTGATAATGTTTTGAATACATAATGACCTTAATCTCATGCTCACGTGATGGAATAAATGAGATACAGTATATCTTAACATTTATATAATATATATTATAAGTATTATGATATACAATCCTTATTCTATCGTAAATCGTAGTAAAACAGTTCATGTAATAATACTCGATAAAAATGTGCTAAAATGGATAAGTATGCTAAAGGTTGGGGACGTGGTAAATACAAATCTAGGGGAGCGGAGGAGACCATTATAATTAGTATATTTTACAAGTCTGGCAACTGGTTAAATCAAAGTATTTAGGTAATTCAACGTCAGAACCGTTTATATTTTAAAATGCTTTGAATGACAATCTCGCTGATCGAGATATTTAAATATGCAAGAGTTCTCTTGCTTACTAGAAAATAAGTCATACTTCCACTACCACTCATTCTTGTAACTATGTTATTAGAATATAACATAGTGAACACCCCCTACCAAACCCCCTACCACGTGCTCACATATTCAGCTGACAGGTAATTATAATCTGATAATCAGAACCTCTACTACCACTAGGACTATCCTCTCCTTCATTACAACTTCCCCGCAGTTTGAGGTCCTCCTCATACCTCACTGCTAAAATGTACTGTTACTCAACCTCCACAAGACACAACCTCACTGCTTTAACATAAAACCAGCCTCACGTTTACCCTGCCCACATCTTATTGTTACTTCTCAACTTAAGTTACTATAGTAACCCACCTAGTTACTACAAGAGGAGCAACATATCACGTGCTACATATCCCGTGCTACATATCACGTGCTAAATATCACGTGCTAAATATCACGTGCTAAATATCACGTGCTACATATCACGTGCTAAATATCACGTGTCATTATATTATCACGTGTCATGTCACTGGCAGGTGAAATAACCACATTTTAATACACCCACTCCACTGCTCCTTCCCAATCACCTTATAATGCATAATGCGAGACACGCCGTTCAAATATACAGATGGAGAATAACGGCGTCAGTATTCCATTAAAATCATTATAATATATCGGTATGTGTGTGGGTATTAAAGTAGTTACATTATTACGTGGTATTAACCTACATTTTACGTACATTCAACGTAAATGTAACGTGTGTGGTAGTAACGTTTGTGTAACGTTTGGAAAATGTGGCCGCGTATTTTAAAGCGTTTCCTGTACGTGTACGTGGGTGAGCTGAAAAATAGAAGATATAGAAATAAACAGAGAGCCAGTGTAGCAGTAGTACAATTATAGAGTAGTTATAGAGTAGTTGTAATGTAGCTACAGTGTAGCTGGATTGCCAGTGTAGTTCAATTGCCCATTGGGCCTGGCAGTTAGTATATATTATAAGTGTGTAGATGCATTGTCGAGCTTTCCGGTACGGTAATAGTGGCCCACTATTAGTGGGGGTACACGGTTATAACTTATAATGAAGAGTTACAGTGTACTGTGTACTGAGAGGCGTACTGTAAACTGTAGGGCTTTAAGGTAAAAAATACCCATTGCCCCCCCCCCCCCCCCCTTTAGGTGTACTGCTCGCGGGTTTAATCAGCTAAGTCTACACTAGCTTTACACTTTACAGTCTACAGTGTACTACACTATCTTTACAGTCTACAGTGTACTACACTAGTTCTACAGTCTACAGTCTACACTATCTTTACAGTCTACAGTGTACTACACTAGCTCTACAGTCTACAGTGTACTACACTAGCTTTACAGTCTACAGTGTACTACACTAGCTCTACACTGCAACACTAGTGGGGAGTGTTATAATTATGTAGATAATATCCTAGACTACAATGTAGTCCTGGTGATATAAGAAGCACACACCCACTATGAAGCACACACCCACCCTCCATGACCACCCTAGATTTGTCCGACTGTGTAGGGTACGGGTTGTTACGAGTAATGAACTGGACAGTAAATAACATGTTATCTGGTGAACAGTTAGCACTGTGTTAAGTTAGGGTACTGAATATAGCCGGTAATCATAACAATATCTGCTAACTGTTAGAAAATGTTCACTTTATGGAATTTCAAATCATGGTTTATAATATTATATAAGCATATTCTTATATACTTATACCCGATTTAGTTGTGCTATATAATATCAAATGAATCGTATGGCGTGATTGTGTCAGATGCTCACTGACCCGCTGTCACGTTTCTGATGGGCTGTCACGTTTCTGATGGGCTGTCACGTTTCAAGCCAGCCTGATGTGCCAGCCTCCTGGTGTGAAATGTGGCAGTCAACTCTATAACTTGTAGCAGTTAACGAAACCTCAGATTAGATTTTATAATCTTCAAAAATAAAATTGAATTTTAATTCAAAATCATGATTTGGTGGTAGGTGATATTTATCATTAGGGCGTAGTTTTATCTGTGTGTGTAACAGTACACCCTAAAATAACAGCTAAGTGTTGAGTCGACCCGCCCATCTATTAGATATCTCGTTTTTTTGGTATAATTTCTACCAACTAATGAGATGTAATAGATATATTTTCTAGATATCTAAAATTTGATTCTTGTGTAAAATTTCAAATGGATTTCCCCACGATCATTTAATATTGAGTGAAATTAATTGTTCAAAAGTAACCGACCGTTATCATGATGGCATATTACCTAAAGATAATGATACAAATTAATCTAAGTTGAGCATAAAACAATTATGGCAATTTTCTGAAATCTTAATAAAATCTTAATATAATAGTGATTTCACTGAGTCCGTCTGTAGAGGATTAATTCGTGCTTAATGTTTGTTAAATGTCATGACGGTGTTAAAATGAGTAACACAAACACGTCATGACAATATTGTATAGAAAAGTCATTGTAGAATGTAGATGCATCTGAGATTGGGCTGTCTTGGTTTTGTTGAATGTGACACAAGACTAAAACCTTTACACACAATTTTTTACTCAATGTTACACACACTGTTACTACATAAGTCATATTATAATAATGTTACACCCCTTTTTACACCCTTTTTACACTCCTTTTTACACTCCTTTTTACACGATTAATGTTTCAGATACCTGGCAATAGAGTTTGAGGAGGACGAGGACCGGAAGGTGAAGGATGTTCTGTTGGACTACATGTTACACCACGATAACATCTGGACAAGTACGTTCCTTTTATTAATTAATACAATATATTAAGTTTAATTATTAATTCATTATTTGATTTAGTTAAAGTTTTGTAGTAATTTAGTTATTATAGGAAATTGTATTTTTTGTGGGTGTATTTTCTTTCTGGGATTTTTCACTGCCCTTGTCTTTTTCATGCGAAAATTACTGTCTAATAATAATCTTTGGTATGTGAATTGAAGATGACAGTTATGTTTCATCAGGTAAGCGACAGTTCATAAAGAAGAAAGACAAGTACTGGAAAAAGTTAGGTTTCCGGTGCATGGTCACACGACAGCGACTTGAACAGGTTTGTCAGTTTGTCAGTCTGTTTACGTGCAATGTCAGTTTGTCAGTCTGTTTACGCGTATTGTCAGTTTGTCAGTCTGTTTACGTGTATTGTCAGTTTGTCAGTCTGTTTACGTGTATTGTCAGTTTGTCAGTCTGTTTACGTGTATTGTCAGTCTGTTTACTGTAACAGGTTCCTCTCTTTGATCTCCATATTATTATAACAGGGGCTGTATAACGGGGCTGTAAAACTCCGTCCACTACGTAATCTCCAACATCTCTTGTGTTACGTATCCCTTGTTCGGTTAATCTCTGTGTCTGTCCCGTCTGTCCCGTGTAATACGTCCGGTGAGTGATCTGGTGCCAGGAACAAAGAGAGGCGGGACTGTGGGGAGTTACTGTGCAGGTCACAGTTTGCAGGTCACAGTGGCCCTGTCTGTGGGGAGTTACTGTGCAGGTCACAGTTTGCAGGTCACAGTGACCCTGTCTGTGGGGAGTTACTGTGCAGGTCACAGTTTGCAGGTCACAGTGACCCTGTCTGTGGGGAGTTACTGTGCAGGTCACAGTTTGCAGGTCACAGTGGCCCTGTCTGTGGGGAGTTACTGTGCAGGTCACAGTTTGCAGGTCACAGTGGCCCTGTCTGTGGGGAGTTACTGTGCAGGTCACAGTTTGCAGGTCACAGTGGCCCTGTCTGTGGGGAGTTACTGTGCAGGTCACAGTTTGCAGGTCACAGTGGCCCTGTCTGTGGGGAGTTACTGTGCAGGTCACAGTTTGCAGGTCACAGTGGCCCTGTCTGTGGGGAGTTACTGTGCAGGTCACAGTTTGCAGGTCACAGTGGCCCTGTCTGTGGGGAGTTACTGTGCAGGTCACAGTTTGCAGGTCACAGTGGCCCTGTCTGTGGGGAGTTACTGTGCAGGTCACAGTTTGCAGGTCACAGTGGCCCTGTCTGTGGGGAGTTACTGTGCAGGTCACAGTTTGCAGGTCACAGTGGCCCTGTCTGTGGGGAGTTACTGTGCAGGTCACAGTTTGCAGGTCACAGTGGCCCTGTCTGTGATGGTGACGTGACCGTGGACCTGTCTGCGATGTAGTGTGATGTAGTGTGATGTAGTGTGATGTAGTGTGATGTAGTGTGAAGTAGTGTGATGTTGTGTGATGTTGTGTGATGTAGTGTGATGTAGTGTGATGTTGTGTGATGTAGTGTGATGTTGTGTGATGTAGTGTGATGTAGTGTGATTTAGTGTGATGTTGTGTGATGTAGTGTGATGTAGTGTGTGAGTTGAAGGTCGTGTGTAATGAGGAACTCGAATTACCGTGGTGGGCATTGATTGTAACTGTTCCAACGTCTGTTATTTGCTACCTGTTTGTAGTGAGGCGTACAATTAGTCAGAAGTTACACACCTTTACACTTAGTTACACTCACCTTTACACTTGCTTACACACAGTTCACACTTCACACTCCACACTCCACACTGACAATATTATTCAAGCTGAGTTCTCAGACTCAAGTTTACAAGGTTACTCGCCACATCACATATTGTGTCCAGACAGAAGGTGACACTGAGACGCCTCCCATCTCCCTGGGCCCCAGACAGAAAGTCGGCTCCTTGTCGGCACCCTGTGTGATCTGACATCTTGTCGGCACCCTGTGTGATCCGGTACCTTGTGTGATCCGCTAAAAGGAGTGCTACATTGAACCACAACTAAGAAAAGCGCTGCTTCTTTGCTGGATAGAGTATCAAATACTTTAGCGGTGTCTTGACTCTTGTACCCACTGGTACATAATCAGATACTCTGTACCTACTGGCTACTGGTACTTTATCAGACACCTACTGGTACCTCCTGGGTTCAAAATGGGACGCTATTTTGTCCTTCTCTGACAGGAAGAGAGAGAGAGAGAGAGAGAGAGAGAGAGAGAGAGAGAGAGAGAGAGAGAGAGAGAGAGAGAGAGAGAGAGAGAGAGAGAGAGAGAGAGAGAGAGAGAGAGAGAGAGAGAGAGAGAGAGAGAGAGAGAGAGAGAGATATCTAGCGATGTGTCCTGTACCCTGGTCTGTTATCAGACCACTTTGTGACGTCACAGCTAAAGTAAGCTGATATGTTGAGGTGACAGTACTGGGTGTCACACCACCTCGGTAAGGTGTTGTGAGACACTGAGACAAGGTGTATCTCTCCTGGAGTAGCTTCTAACTCCACCCTCCTTCTCTACTACTCCTCCACCTCACTATTTCTCAGCTTTATTCCTGCTTCTCATAGGCTGGTTTCAGTCACCTGACAACCTCTCCTGTCACTGATTGGTCGGTTCAAGTTTGTTTAGATGTAACATTGCGTGTCCGGTTTCTGGTGCGTCATCACTGACCAGGCCCCTGGAACCCTGGAGAGGGAGCCCTTTGTTATCACCGACCAGGCCCGGCCCCTGAAACTCTAGAGATAGAGTCCCTTGTTATCGTTATTGTGGGTGTCGGTTGGAAGTGGCCGTGTATACTGTATTTGTTATTAGGCAGTTACCGTACATATCTGTTATCAGTAGGTGCGAGCTTGCAAATCTACATCACGTGTTTTAGAGCGAATTTGTTTTGACACGTGACGAAGTGGTTCAGGGTTTTCTCTCTCAGTTCTGGAAGCTGATTGGTCAATCACTGTCACGTGTCAGGAAAAGTTGGACTAGTTAGACATGTTAATATATATTGTCCCATTGTTTTGAGAGTTATACTTATCACGCTTAACACCGAAAAGGAAACGTGACAGCTTTAAAGCTCAGACTGATATTATGTCTCTTGAGCGTCGAGCATGAAGATGTGACATTAGCTTGAAAATTAATGTGACAACTCCACTCTCTCTCTCTCTCTCTCTCTCTCTCTCTCTCTCTCTCTCTCTCTCTCTCTCTCTCTCTCTCTCTCTCTCTCTCTCTCTCTCTCTCTCTCTCTCTCTCTCTCTCTCTCTCTCTCTCTCTCTCTCTCTCTCTCTCTCTCTCTCTCTCTCTCTCCTCTCTCTCTCTCTCTCTCTCTCTCTCTCTCTCTCTCTCTCTCTCTCTCTCTCTCTCTCTCTCTCTCTCTCTCTCTCTCTCTCTCTCTCTCTCTCTCTCTCTCTCTCTCTCTCTCTCTCTCTCTCTCTCTCTCTCTCTCTCTCTCTCTCTCTCTCTCTCTCTCTCTCTCTCTCTCTCTCCCTTCTTTCTCTCTCACTCTCTCTCCCTCTCTCTCCCTCTCTCTCTCTCTCTCTCTCTCTCTCTCTCTCTCTCTCTCTCTCTCTCTCTCTCTCTCTCTCTCTCTCTCTCTCTCTCTCTCTCTCTCTCTCTCTCTCTCTCTCTCTCTCTCTCTCTCTCTCTCTCTCTCTCTCTCTCTCTCTCTCTCTCTCTCTCTCTCTCTCTCTCTCTCTCTCTCTCTCTCTCTCTCTCTCTCTCTCTCTCTCTCTCTCTCTCTCTCTCTCTCTCTCTCTCTCTCTCTCTCTCTCTCTCTCTCTCTCTCTCTCTCTCTCTCTCTCTCTCTCTCTCTCTCTCTCTCTCTCTCTGTCTCTCTCTTTCTCTCTCTCTCTCTCTCTCTCTCTCTCTCTCTCTCTCTCTCTCTCTCTCTCTCTCTCTCTCTCTCTCTCTCTCCACTGTGCTAAAACGAGTCCTTCACCAATGCGGACAGATATACTTGCACACAAACGGACATACTTACATATAGCAAACACACACACACACACACACACACACACACACACACACACACACACACACACACACACACACACACACACACACACACACACACACACACACACACACACACACACACACACACACACACACACACACACACACACACACACACACACACACACACACACACACACACACACACACACACACACACACACACACACACACACACACACACACACACACACACACACACACACACACACACACACACACACACACGAATCAGGCACCGCTAATCCCGGAGTGGATCGCAATTATCGTGGTTGCTCTATAAATACACCTGTCCACATAGTAGCTCATCCTACATCATAACATAACACTGCGCCGTATAGCAGTCTAATAATAAGTTCGTATATCATAACGTGGCAGCTAGCAGTAGTTAGAATGTCGCATCATGTGTGGTATAACACTCTCCTCCTGTTAAGTGAGGAGGTCCGGTGAGGGGATCACGTGACGTGCAGGATCACGTGACGTGTAGAATCACGTGTTATCGTCTGATCACGTGTTATCGTCTGATCACGTGGGATATCTGCGTCACGTGTTATCGTCTGATCACGTGGGATATCTGCGTTGAACCGGCCCAAACTTGTATTGTAACTTTGTAATGTATAGTGTAAGTAAACAAGATTGGTACAAGGAAATGGGAGTGTATTATTATATGGTACTATTCTTGTGCTTTGTGTCAGCCTATTATTCCTTTAAAGGCAGCATTATCAAGGTTATAGCATTATCAGTTTCATCGCGTGATATTAAACATTTTCAATCTAGCACGAAAAACGTGCCCTTAAGAAAAACGTGCCCTTTAACATCATGTAACAACATTTCTTGTAAAATTTGTTGTCTAATTTTTTTTGTGAAAATAAATAAGTCATTGAATGCCGCAAAATTTTACAGTAAAGTAAGTGTAATTTGAAGCGCCTGAGGATGACTAATGAAAAAAAGAAAATTCAAACGCCGATTAGTCGTATTTCAAATTAGCACTAAATAACTGAATTCCAATTCGTCGTTAAACAAAAATGTTACCGCACATTAAATTCGTATAAAAACGACTACAATATAGTGTGCCTGATGCTGGTACACATTTCGCTACAGTAATAAACCTGTTTATTCTAGAGTCATGCTGCTCAGAGTTATTCTTGTGCACATTCAAGCTCACTACTACTCTACTCAGCTCTACTCAGCTCCATGATAGTTCTACAGATCTGTAGAGATCTATGTCCCTCTCCTGTAGATATCTCTACCTCCCAGAGCTCCCACAAATTACATTGGTCCCCACTTCCCAACCTAACCACTACCTCTAACAGTCCCTACATGTATCCATCTGC